AACCCCCCTTTTTTGTGTGATATCATATAGGTTTATACCAATTTTCAGGTCTCTACCTTGAACCCTTTCACAGATATTCTGTTTAAAAAATTTAGTTTGTATGGGAGGTGCCACGCCCCCTTTTCTGATAACCCCCCTTTTTAGTTATAAACCTTCTCCACATGTGTCTCTTCAATGTAGCAAAGTTTGGTTAAAATCGGTTCAGCCATTCTCCGTAAAGTTCATTACAAGGCGAAAAACGGCTAAATTTTTATATATATAGAGCAGATTACGTAGTGTATTTGTGTACAATGGGGTATAGCCTAGGTATACTAAATCCCGACTCTTGCGTCCTCGTTCGCGCACTCTGGGCAACGTGAGCAAGCCATGTGCGAGATGCGGTAACCAATCCGAGTGGAAACTTGGGTCACGGCAGAAAGAGAGGGAGCTTCAGTGGGGCCACTCGGACTTATGCGGTTGGAGGGATCACTAAAGTCTGAACGAAACAAGCACCACGGTTTTAGATATGCACCAGGAATGTCCGGAGCCTCTATAGGGAAGGTGCTTCTATCTAACTGCTGGATGTCATAACAAAATTCCAGGCATCACCGCAGTTCATAAAATTCAATGGACGGGGAATGGCTCCAAAAAATTGCCGCTTGCGATATCTACTACAGCACAAATGAGACGGCGCACAAATTTGGTGCAGGATTGTGTGTGGGACTCCGACATCTTACCTCGCTCTTATCAGCGAGCAAATTGCCACAATCCGCATTAAGGCAAAATTTAACAACATCAGCCTAACTGGTGTGCACGCCCCGACGGAAGAGAAGGACGATGGGACTAAGGAGCTTTTCTATGAGCGCCTAGGAGGAGCGCATGGTACAATAATTACAAGTTTTGTCTTCCCAGAGAGCGCATATTCCGATCTGCCTTATTTGAGAAACATCATTGTTGCCCACACTAAAAGGTTTACTGCTAGGGAAAAGGGATATTTCCATACCCCATATACAATATATGTACACGTAGTTTTTTAAACAAACCTTCTTGCAGAGGACTTATTTAATTTTCAAAAGCCGAAAAAAAACATTTGCTTAGTAAATAATTTCAAAATTTCTGTGGCTCACTTCATTCCGAACGTTTTTTCATTTGTTTTGAAAAATTATAAAAATGAAATTGAGCGAAAACAAAAAGCAAACCCAGATAAAAGTAGAAGAATCAACATTGAACTGCGTCAAAATGAAAATAAAGGAGCACGAATTTCGATGTGAAGCAAAACTCTCTGGTAAGACAATACCAGTACTTATTGTACCATGGGAGGAGCGTATGAGCGACGAAGAGTGACGCACGGCTGCTGCAGAGAAACACACAGCTACCTTGCAACCAATGGCGACAAGCGCGACAATTGAGCTATACCGGTGAGTGCAAAGAGCTTGAGATGCTGGCTCGAAAATTCTATCAGAAAACAAGGCAGCAATCAAATCTCGTCTCTCTACAAGTCACTCATCATGCCTGTCCTCGTGTATGGCGCGGAGGCATGGACAATGAAAACATCTGATCAAGCGCTCTTGGAGTTTTCGAGAGAAAGCTTGTGCGAAAGATTTTCGGGCCTTTACGCGTTGGCGATGGCGAATACCGCAGATGATTTTACGATGAGCTGAATGAGCTTTACAACGATATAGACATAGTGCAGCGAATTAAAATTCAGCGGCTCTGCTGGCTTGGTCATGTGGTTCGAATGGACAGAAACGCTCCTGCTCTGAAAGTATTCAACGCGGGCCGTGATGCTGGTAACAGAGGAAAAGCTCCTCTGCTTTGGAAAGACCAGGTGGCGAAGGACTTGGCTTCCCTTGTCATTTCCGGCCAAAATCGCTTAGATGGTTACAGCGCCAACAAAGAAGAAGATGAAGTGCACCATGGACCAGATTTACACAGCACGCAAAATCCTTGAAAAGACACTAGATATGCAAATCGACACAGATAGAAGGAACATAAGCTGCCCGTACGACGTCATGTCTAAATCCCCGCGAAACTAATACGACTATGTAGAATGACGTTGAGCACAATGTTCAGCTCCGTTTGAATTGAGGAGGACCTGAACAAGGGGACAAGAGGTTGGTCCAGCGGTGAATGAAGATAAGACAAAGTACCTATTACATGTATTGAGTCCACGCGTTACGGGACACGCGTCACTGTTAGCAGCTATAAATTTGGATAGGTGAAGGACTTTGTCTACCTAGGATCCAGCATAAACACAACCGAAGCCTAACTCTTGCCAACGGGTGCTACTTTGGGCTCGGTAGGCAATTGAAAAGCAGAGCCTTCTCTCGACGAACAAAAGTTACGCTCTACAAGTCTCTTGTCATGGCCGTTCTTTTATATGACACAGAAACGTGGACTATGTCGAACAAAGATGAGAGGGCTTTGGGTGCTTTCGAGAGAACTATTCTACGCAAGATCTAGGGTCCTGTTCGCGTGGACGACGGGTATAGCAGAAGATGAAATAACGAACTGTATGAGCTTTTTAACAACATGGACATAGTTAAGCGCATAAAAATACTGCGATTGTGCTGGCTTGGACACGTTGTACGCATGGATGAGGACGCTCCTCTGAAAAGATCTTTCGACTCCGACCTATGGGTGGACAACGAAACCAAGGACGGTCACGAACAAAATGGAAGAACCAAGAGCAGAAGGACCTGCTTGCACTCGGGATGAGCAAGTGGCGCAAATTCGCACAGGAAAGAGGCAATTGGTCTCGTGCCAAATAAGAAAAATTAATTATATAGTGCAAAGTAAAAGTGTTGTTTTCTTCGGCACCCTGTAAAATGGCAACATTTACAAATACTTTTCTCATAAGCTTTTGCTGGTGACCGGGGATAAAGGAAGATTGGTTTAAAAATGCCACTCGCTAGCTATCATCACTAGGGCTGGAAAATAGCCCGGATTTTTTGAACATCCAAATAATTCGGATATCCGAAAAGTGTGTAGATATCCGGATATTTGAATCGTAAAACTAAGAATAAAATAAACATTATTTGTGTAAAGTATCCAATTATTTATTTAACAAATCGATAGATTCATTAATTTTGAGAACAATTTTAAGAATCCGTTAAAATTCTGTTTAAAATACCCGGATATCTGGATAACCAAATGAACCGATATTAACCGGATAACCAGAAAATAAAATTATCGGATATCCGGACTTTATACGTATGTATACACGAGTATCTGAACGAATCCTAAGGTTAAAGGT